GTCTGTCTGTCTGTCTGTCTGCGTGTCTGTCGGTCGGTCGGTCGGTCGGTCTGTCGGTCTGTCGGTCTGTCGGTCTGTCGGTCTGTCGGTCGGTCTGTCGGTCCGTCGGTCCGTCGGTCCGTCCGTCCGTCCGTCGGTCCGTCCGTCCGTCCGTCCGTCCGTTTGTCTGTCTGTCTGTCTGTCTGTCTGTCTGAACCTCTTTTCATTCGACCTGGAGAAGACTGGTTCGGTGGGGAACACCAAACGTCCCAAATGGGACGGATGGAACGGACGTGTTTTGCACTTGTGAATCGTCCTTGCTTGCGGTTTTGAGCGTTTTTGCATGAAGATGCTCCAATGATTTGCACGTTTAAGGACGTGGCTGCTAAAGCGCTTGCGCCTAGATGATGATGAAAGGAATGAGGACGACGCAGTTGCTTCTACACTTAGAATTTGTTGTTCTTAGGGTTCAAGTGTACAGCTGACCCAGTAAGAGTATTTTCATGAATTTTTTGGTTGCGGTTTCCTGCACATGTGGTTCCGCACATTGATTCAAGGAGATTCTAAGACTGGAGAAGGCATGCCGAGAAGAAGAGAAGGCGAGGGAAAGAACGACAGAATTGGTGACCATCAGGTGCTTGTGACGTGGAATGCTAGATTCGGGACTCCGGTCTTACCGGTCAGAGGAAGCGCTCGTGAGGCCTTGGCAAAGACCAAGGGCGAAATCCAGCAGAGCAACACCGAACGGCGACATCTTCAGCAGCATCCCGGCGAGATCCAATATGATCGCGAGTGATTTTAAATGATTTTAACATATTTCTTTTGACATCAAGTTGAAACTCTAGCTGACCTTTTTCCAATACTTGGCTATTTGAGAAAACACTCATGGCATCTAATGGCTACTTCGCCGCCAATACTCAGCCTCCCAGTCAGCCTAGGCAGCTCGATACCTCTCAGAACCAATTGGTGGAGCTTCGCATGGAGCGGGGCCACCTAGTGCTGTCCCGGGCGGAGACTTGGAGAGCGGAGGTTTTCTTCAATCCCAGCGGACGATTGTACTGGTAGAAGATGTAGAAGGGAAAAGTGAGAGAACACAACCCGGGAGTGCAAAACATACGGATCAGGCAATTGTCCAGCTCGCATTTGGCAAGATCGGAGTTCCCAAAGAATCCTTTGGCATATATTGAACCAGAAAACTTTACCACTCAGCTGACCCTGCTCAGTTTTGCTCGACCGGGACCTCTGCACGAGCAGTTCAATCTTTGAATAAAGGACGAAGTGCCATGCTTCAGTTCCAAAAAGAGCATCCGAGAGCCGAGAGCTGCCAATTATTTGACGACTATCCTTGAAGCGATTCAGGTATGACATGCTCCGGCGGGAGAGCGTCTTCCTGCAGCATGGGCCTAAGCAGTCTTTGTGAGTTACATGCCTCTTCCAGTTGCTTGACGGATTTTTCACAGTGTGCAATCAAATGCGTCACAGGCACGATCAGAGCAGCCATGCAGCAGAGGCAATATTGGTTTGCAGTCGTAACATAATGAATGTTGGCTTGATGAGAAATCATGTTCTTCGAAGCCAGGATTCATTGTTCTGACATGTTCCGACTTTTTCTTCAACAACTGAGACTTTCTTCGACTTTGCCCTTTGCTCCTAGTAGCGATGCCAGGAGCTACTAGTAGCTTCTCGCTCCTAGTAGCAACGGTAGCAAGGCTCCCGGTGTCGTTGATGCGCCAGGTGCTGTTCTTGCAGCGGCTCCTGGAAGAGTACCAGCGGGATTCCAAGGCGGCCACGGCAGACGCTTTGAACCGCGCGCGGTTCGGTTCGCTCGACTCGGGTCGACCGGGGGGACATCGGGAGACATGCGACCGGGCAGGTGCTGGAGAGATCCATCTCACTGCTGGGAAATGCGACCTTCGGACTGGAGGCTCGACGGTCATATTCTTGCAAACCCCATGCAATAGCCATCAACTAGCCCAAGAAGCCCCTTTATGTTGTGGAAGGCTTCCTCCCAATGAAGGGTTGTTGCTGAAAGTATAGTGTTAGAGTCGTCTTTTGAGCAGGGCATGTAGAGCTGCAGGGTTTGATCGTCTCTGAGGGAATTTGCCAGCCTGTTTGCCACAGCGTCAGCTTGGGCTATCAGGAGCCATATGGAGCCCATATGGTGCTTGTAGATATGGGCCTTTCTCGGAGAAACGCAACAGATGATGGCAGCAGCACATTGGACCAGACCATTCTGGTAAACCACGGCACAATAAAGGCTAGATTCACGATCATGTTTCTTCTTAAAGCATCCAAGTGTTCTAGTGGAATCCTAGGTCACTTCAAAACACGGAACACATTTTGACATCATGCTGCGCCTTGCCATTTCTTTGCTCCTTTCCCCGGCTCTGGGCGACTCCGGCTGCAGTTCGCACGTGTCAGCGAGTGAATGTAATTGCCTTCCGGCATCAGGATGACTGTGCTTGGGATGTGCACTTACAAATCTGTGTATCTGATATTCCCTGCGAACTTCGAGGGTCAACAGTTTGTGAAAGGGAGCTGACCAACGGGGCATCATGGGATGCCACCCAGAACAAGTGCTTCTGGGATGGACGGTTGAAACAATGCCGCTGGAGCGAAGAGTGCTTTGCCCGGGAGAAGGATGCCTGTCTTCAAGCAGGATGCTCTTGGAGAAGGGTTTGCACACCTCAGGACGTTTGTTTCTGTTCCCAACACCTAACACCGCGAATGTGCAGAAATCCTCACCACGCGTTCTGTGAAGCCAGCCAAAACACTTGGACGTATGCTACGAACGGACGTTTCTTGTTTGACCAGTCGAAGCCATGCGACCTCTGTTCAATCAAAAAACTACCGCCCGCATTTCGTCCAAGAAAACACCCTGCATTTCGACCTCCCGCCACTCGGCCAGGACATGTCCGTTCGACCAGGTCCAAACGTTTGCTCCGATGTTTGCTCAATCCCTGGCACTGACGACCCGCTCCCGGGCAACCGGACGCGACTTCGCGCTTCGCAGCGAAGCGCCACGGAAAACCGAAAGCGTCAGGGCAGCAGCCCAGTGGTGGAGACCAGCACGGGTCCAGTCCAAGGCCAGAGTCACAGTTGGGATGATGGGGGCCTCGGCCATTGACGGTCAATCCGGAATGAAGCAAGAAACTTGCCAGTAGTGACAGTCGTATGATGTATTACTACTTTGGAGCTAATGTGTACAGGACGGGAGACCTGATGTTCATGAGAATGACATAGAATGAACAAGTAAGTCCAATTCGACGCCAGGCAATCAGCTGCCTGACATTCAAGAGTTTTTGGGCATCCCATTTGCTCAACCGCCTGTGGATCAACTTCGCTGGGCACCCTCCAAGCAGATGGAACGTTGGAATGCCATTTTTCAGGCGAGGCAGTGGTTCAAATGGCACAGTTTGAAGATCATTGTCATTTCTTTGCACACACGTTCATAACACACAGGGCTCCAATATGCTCCAATGCAGATTTGCCAGGCAACAGAATTCGGAGCCGCTTGCACACAGCAGTCCAGTTACTATGCGGGAGATTCGAAGAAGTGTCAAGGCAGCACCCGTGGCGTGTGCCTCGGATACTCTGAGGACCGCGTGAGGTTCCAACCTCACCGTGATTTTAAACCTCTTTTTGATGCCCAGCGTGTGGCTTCAATTTCTGGCAGGCTTCTTTTGCATTTGACCTGCAGGACTGTTTGACTCTGAATATTTGGACTCCAAGTACCACAGGTCAGAGAGCAGTGATGCTTTGGATCCATGGTGGTTGCTATGTGAGTGGCTCTGCCTCTGATTTGGAGTACAATGCCACCTCTCTAGCTGCAACCACTGATGTGGTGGTGGTCTCGGTCCAGTACCGCCTGGGCGTCTTCGGCTTCCTGGGCTCGCCGGACATGCGCAGCCGTGACCCGCAGGGCTCCACGGGGAACTATGGCTTGATGGATAACATCGCAGCTCTCCGATGGGTGCAGAGCAACATCGCAGCCTTCGGCGGGGATCCCAGCAGGGTCACCATCTTTGGAGAGTCCTCAGGCCGAGGGGGGAGCACGGAGGCAAGTGATGTGATGGCTTGTTGGACAGAAACACTGAAGCGAACGCCCAGCGTCGCCGCGTCGCCTTGGCTTGCCAGGTGCGGGCTCGGTAAGCCTGTTGATGGGGGTGGAGGAGCGCATGTTTGGGTGCAAGCCAGGTAGAACACGTCCGAATGGCAAGTTTGAGCAGAGGCAAAATCACGATTGAAGCAGTTTTTTTGTTCTGCCTGGGGCAAGCACTCACAGTGAGACAAGAATCAGGTCCTGGATGGTCCTGGTCAAAAGAGCAATTTCTGCCTTAATGTGCTGTGTGTTGATGGTTTGATCCAGCAAGGAGTCATGGCCTTTCTATCAGCAGGCAATTATGGAGAGCGGTACTGGATCGTTTTGGAGTTCCTTGTCTCGGCAATGTAGACAATCCAGCCGCTGTCGCATGATCGAATGCAGAAAGTCAAAGTAGGTTGCCATCCTTCTTTGGGGAGACCTAGAAAACATACCTTAAAGCATCCCTTTGCCAACGAGGCTACATCACCTTGGAAGGCGCACAGAACAACTGGCAGCAAGTGCTTGCAGCGACGAAGTTCCCTGGCTGTCAGCGAGTAAGGCCTTTCCATATGTTTGAGTCTGTTTGTATCTGGGTTTGTCCCCAACCTGTACTGCCAACCTGTAAGCTGGGGAGCTCGCACCATGCACAGTGCGGACATGGCCGGTCGAACCGTGCTTTCGATGCTTTCGATGCATCGAGAGAAGGTGCAGCTCCGATGCCAACTCCTCGAGCTCGAGCCTCATCACCTGCATTTTGGCCGCGTCCCGCTCGCTGCTCACTGACGCGGTCCAGCAAATCCCTTGCCGTGATGGCTGCACCTGGGCGCCCGTGCTGGATGGGGTCTTCTTGCCGCTTGGCTGGAGATTCAGGATTTGGAGACCTCCCAAGCAAGGGCGTTTATGAATCATAGATTTTGATTGGCCAAAGCAATGTGGATCACAGAAAGATACCATTCTTTTGCTTTACTGCGAGTGGATTTGCCCCCAGGCGAGGCACTCCCGTGCAGCAGGCAAAGCAGGGTTTGCTCAGGATCCTCGCCTGCATCAAAGCGCAGTCTAAGAGTTCACCAGACCGGCACTCTTTTTGGCTGGTTTGAGAGCCACATGGGCAAAGCACGTCTGGTTTGAGTTGATTCAACCTGTTTGTCATACAGGTTCCTCACCACACAGATGGTGACGTACTGGAGAGGTTTCGGTCCGCCCTTGGTACCTCGACAGCTGAGGCCAAACACACCCAGCATCTCAGGCTTCAACAGGAATGATGGCGCCATGTTTGCCACTTGTTTGTAGCAAGCCTTGACCTTGACATGAATTTGAATGATTTGGTTTTTGAAGGCATTTGAGTGCAGAACTGCTCATGATTTTGAGGTGACTGGCTATCCTGTGTCTATGCTGACCATGTCGGAAAGCCCCTTGCAGCGGGTTGTTTCGTGTGGAAGGTTTCTGTGGCTTTCCGGACGATTCAGGAAAGGACAAAGTCATCTCAAGACGGCACCTTTCGGTTCGATGTGAATTCTACTTGCACTCGCATCTTCTCCTCGTGTTGCGCTCTTTTTTTGCATGTTGAAGTCCGTCCACTGAGGCTCCTTAGACGACTATTTCTCCAAGCGCTTTGGGGAGGAGCGGAAAGCCACACTGCAGAAACTCTTTCCACCAAGCTCTGCCGGTGGTGGCGGCTGGACGTCGCAGTACTTCAACGCGGCTTCGGCCTGTGAGACGGACTTCAGCTGCGTGGCGGTCCGTTTGGAGTCTGGAGAGGATCGCTAACGGCCTGTTTGTGGATCGATAGGTAGGTTTGTCATGGTTGGTCTGTTTTCTCCGCGTTTGGTTTGGCCAGAATGTGGGAAGGACGAGGCAAAAATATCTGAGGCTACTCTTGCACTGCCCTTTGGATTTCAACTTGGTCAAGTCCATCCTTTGTCTACAAGTTCTCAGAGCCCGACTTTGAAGGTCTTACATTGCATGGGGATGAGATTCCATACATTTTTGGCACCTTGAGCTCACCCTCGGCGCAGCAGACACAACTCTCTTCCTTGATGATGCAATACTGGTCCAACTTCGCAAAGGGAGGTGGGGTGTCTCTTCAAGTACGAGATAAACTAGCGAGATAAACTAGCACTTTCAGCCCTCTATTTTTAGAATCTGGTCAAAGCATTCATAGCAACCTGAACGGCTGTGGTCCAATGTGCACTGCTGAACGGCATTCTCAAAGGTGATCCCAATGGCCCAAGCCTTCCGCCTTGGCCTTCTTGGGGAGGAGAGGTGTTGCTGAACATCAGCGCGGAGCCCGTCCTGGTGACAGTGCCTGGGTTTGGGTTTATATTTTGCAGTCACCATGCAACACTCCTCCATGAGAATCATGAGAAAGAGGACATTACTGTACTCTCCTTCAGACTGGGGTATGTGAGAAACCTCCTTGCCTGTCTGTGGGGACCTAAGTTATCCGAATTTTGCGTATGTGTTGTGTGCGGAACACAAAGAAAAGCGGAAAACACTCTCCCGTATTCATGAGGTCGTCATGCCTTGTGAGCTTTTCCTTCCCAGAATGCATCTCCTGCGCGGTGAGGTTCCAAACAATAGCTGGCCTGGTTGCGGCTTCTTCTTGGAGAACTGGGATTTCTATTCACTCTGCCTTCCGGGGACTGTGCAGACCCAAAGATCCATGATAGTCTGAGAGCCATGTGTCGGCTTTCATCCTGCCCACCGATGAATCAGGTTTCAGACGAACCCCACGAGCAGCGTGTCTTCGCTTCACACCGAACAGCTATTTTAAAAGCTTTCAGTGCGGCTACCACCGTCAGATAGGGCTGAACGGGCGATTGGCCAGCGGCCTTGTGTCCATGACCTCGTTTCTTGTAAGAACATGGACGAAAATGGTGTGCCTTCGGACAGTCGCTAGTTTGCCTATGCTCACGCACTTACCAGGGCCCTTTGCATGCACATGCTGCAGAAAAGCAGCTCCCAAGTGGTTTCAACTTGCTACAGACATGCCATCTGAATGAACTCCACGTGCTTCCGATCTCGCCAGATCTCCGCCGGTCGGATCGGTCCAGCGGTGGAGGGCCAAAGCCGTGCCCTCCAACAAGCGACCTTGAACTTGGAGCAGCAGGTCGGCTGCCGTCGGCCCAGGGCCGTGAACAACGTGAGTCGTTAGACCAGGTCGCTGTATGACTGGAGGGCCCTCCGGAGTCCAAGGGAGTGTTTGGTGTTTTTTGTTGTCTTCTGAAGCTGCAAAGCCAGGGTGCCATGGAACACGAACAATCCATTCCGTTTTCAAGACGTACCACACATGGCCCTGGTTTCAAGACGTCGCCACACAAAGCCACTTACCAGCATGAAGCCGAAGGTGCTCTCAGTGAAACGGTTCGAATCTTGTTTGTTTCACTTGGACTCCCGGAGTGACTCCCGGGAACGCATCGTAAGGCTACCTAGGCCCAGGCTGAGATGGAGGTGCCACATCCAAACGCATCAACAAAAACCACCCAAAAGTGTCAACGCGTCAATGGCACGTTGCGAGTTGAAGGCCAATGCTGAAGCCATGGGCTTAGAGAAGGACATGCTGGAGCTTCAAGCCGTGCGGCAGGCAGGTAGCTTCAGCCTAGGCTTCAGCTTGGCGAGTAATCTGTGGGACCATTCTGACCGGTTGTGATGAATGAGGAGCACCAAGCCACAGACTTTATTTGCTTTCGCCCTGCACACCTGCCGCGCTGTCAGGCGTTGGATTCCATGACCACCGCCGGACTTCCAGGCGAAGTTTTTGCGATCTGAAGACGTTTATGAGCTCTGCACAAGCCTATGTGATCCACACGGCGCGGCTGCGAAAGCCTTTGCGAAATTCCAAGAAATCATTCTATATAAAGCTAAAGGGAGCCAGGAGCTTCGAGGCACATGTGTGATGTGTTTTTTTTTTCTCCCGAAAAGAAAGTGGATACTCCCAGGCATTGAATGAACGGAATGTCAGGAGTACCATTGACCAAGAAAACCACACACCACAGTGAAAATGGCCAGCGTACCTGTGCTGATAAGCCACCGTGTTTTAAAAGGAAACGACACGACACATCAAGTAAACTCACTCACACCATTCATGAGGTTCAATATGTTTACACCATCCAACTGTCAACAAATATCTCTAACGGGCACTGGGGCACCGGGCACGATCTGGGACGGATCGAACGATCGCTGGAGGCTCTCAGTCTGGTGGAGGCCGCGTTCATTGGGCACTCTCAGTTTGCTTTTGAGTCCCATCACCGGCGCACAACACCATGGAAGTCCAGGTGTTAGGACCTTCAACAGGTGTCCATATATGCTTTCTTGCCAAACAGCTTCGGCGGAGACTGTTCCAAGTCGTTACCCCTCTGTATGATGGATTTAGGGACGTATTGCAAAAATAAAGCAAAATGCAGGGGTCCAAACACTTGCACTTAACTTTGCTCTTACATGAATCAGTTTCTTCGCCGAGTTGACATTGACATACATAGACACAGCGACGCCCCCTTTTTCTGATGTGGATAGGCTTCAGCTTGTGCAAAGCTTGTGAGTCAAATGTTGACAACAGCCAGGTTCGAGCCATCACTGGAGCTCAGGCCAGGTCCGCGATCGACTTTGTCCGATCCAATCCTGTGGGTGCTACTGTGTATCAACAAAACAGAAACGAGAATACCATGGGCGTTTCTGCAGCACCTTGGACCTCGTTGTTATTGACCAAGGAGGCATGTCCCTCTTTGACACCAAGCCTTTGTCCTTCGAGCGGGGCGTTCCGAAGCTGATCAGAGAAGGGGTCTGATGCAGACATGGCACTTTGCGAGACGTCACGCTTGTCGTGTGAAAGTGGGGACAAAGATGACAAAGAACATCTGTCCCCACCTCCGAGTCAATTGGCAAAAAGCTTCTGTGCATATGCAAAGTATTGTTTCGTCCCACGAAATCACTATTGCTTTCAAGATACCACCACAAGCAAGTTGTTTGCTCAAAGGTAGCAGACTTAGGCTTGGTGGATTAAAGAGTCATGAGTCGGAAGCCATACTGTACCAACACAGACTTCACAGGCGTCATGATGGCCTGGCTGCCAGGCCTACTTTGTCCGCGCCTAAACTAATTCTGGCCAATGCGTGAAGGTTGTGGGCTCAAATTATTTGATCCGACAACCTTGATGCATTGGCCAGGTTTTGTGTGGCTCGAAAGAGCCATCCTGGCTAGTTGCAGCTCTACTTTACTTAAGAGTAAGATTGAGTAATACCCTTTGCCAGGCTTGGCAATTGGAATGTCGCCCGTGCTCCGTCTTTGTCCATGGACAGGCCTTGGTCGACAAACACGGAGCAACGGATCAGGTGGTCCCGGACCAGTCATTCCGGACCAGTGCATCATCAATCATCGGTTTTTCCAACAACATCAGCATGGCAGAATGAGATCAGCCATTGAGAGCCTCCAACACGGCAAAGTTGCTGTGACGGACATTCTTTGGATACAGATGTTCACTCCAACGTGTCCACAATTCCCGTTTGATTCCGAGAGCTTGGAAAGCCTGTTCGATTGGATTTGAAGCGACGTATATGGTAGATGCTGTCCTGTCTACAACTGGGGGACTGGGGGGGTGAGAACACAAGCTTGGTCCACTGACTTTAGGACACCTGATGATCAAAACATCACCTGACTCTTGCAATCACAAACAGTGGCCCAGTTAACAGGCGCAGGCAAGCAGGCAGGCACGCGCTGCGATCTTCTTCGGTGAAGGAGTCAAACGCGTGGCGCATCCGCCGCATCCGCACATTTGCTGAGATCCCGACTGCTAAGAGCCAAAGCGCTCTATGCTTTAACTTGAACAATTGCAGAATCGGAGTTGTGAAGCAGAACACTTCTCATGCTGCGCTGATGCAGCTTCTAGTTTGAGAATTGGAACCTCCACCTTTTATCTATTGACTTTCCTGGACACTTCTTTTGGACTACTTGCTTTGAAGCCAGCTCTAATAGTGCAAGAGTGGTTTTTGTTACGAAAGATCCTCAAACCTAGACCCCCAGGCTTGGAAACTTCAAGAATGGACCATGATTTGGACAGCCATTTCCATGGCACGGTGAGCCATGGCCGGCTGGGATTTGCGCTATATTTCTGAGGCGCGATGGCGAAGGAGGCATGGTCCAATCGCACCAGAGGCATGTTTGGCCTGTGCCAGGCGCGCCTAAAGAATGATCAAGAGCCAGAGGAGGAGGCTGGGGCCGATGTTCCTTTACATTTGGCCCGTGCAGGACATTTGCCTCCCAAATGTTTCCGGATGTAAAAGACCATCTTCCCAGATCTTCCCAGTATTTCCTCCTCAAACTTGCTGAGCAGGACCAGCATGAGAGCAACACAAACGGCAATGATTCCCTTTCTCAGGAGGTTTTGGAGGCCTTTGCCCAGGAGATGAGCTTGGCGGGAGGTTTGGTTTCTTTGTCAAATTGTGTTCTATCTTTCTGCCTCATTTCTCTCGTTTCCATTCTCCTTGCCCATGTTAGAGCAACAACGGCAATGCAAGATACAGTACATCTCAACTGACAGTGGCTGCGTATCGTTGCAGTGGACGAATTCGCCGCGAGGACCTACCCTGCCCACCGCGGCAGCAACCTCCCTTTGCGTGCCCGGTACCTACAGAGGAGGAGACGTTTTCCGGTGAAATTTTATGCGAGTCCCGTTGGCATAGTCCACATCCTTGTCTTTGGAGTGGATCAATACTTGAGGGAAAGTCGCCAGTGAGTTCGAGCGGGAGTTCGAAATCAGTCAGAGGCTTAGCCTTGCTAACAGTTCATCTGCATGATGTGGCCAATGAGGATCTGTGGAGAGAGATGGAGAGAGTCTTGAATTTGTCTTCCATGGTGTTTTCCACCTGCACAACTATATAATTACACATCTTTGGGGTTTTCTTGGGTCCTCCTGCCAGAACATAATTCAGGCGGCTCGGAGTTCGATGTTGTGACCAAACTTGGGGACTTCAAGGTAGGTTCGTGTGAGCTGGTGCACCGTGACAGCAGATTTTTTTTTTTTTTTCAGGGGCCTATGTAGTTGGTCTTAGTCTTCGGATCTCTTCGGAGTACATTTGAGAAACCAACTATAGCAATATATGTTGGGAATACTGTTTAAAGAGGTTGGGATGTCCTTGTTGAGACATCGATCCTTGTTGAGATGGGAGATTTTGTCATTGCTTCTTGGCAGATCTTCGCAGGATCCTCACTGGGTGGTGCCGGTGGGTGGGACGCTGCGTCTGCTCAAGGAGGGAATGGATGACCAGTTGGACCAGTTGGAGATTGGCTGGCTTCTAAATGACTATTTGACAACATTGGCAAATGCACCGGATTGGCTTGAGAGATTCGCACCCTTGTTTGTTTCCCTGCATTGCAATCTCTTCAGTGCTCACAGATCCAGAATTCAAAATTTGCACGCGAATTTGAGGGGGGCATCTACCGTTGGAGTCTGCGCTTGGAACACATCTGTGGAAACCTAAGTCCTCTTTGTGTGCTTTGGATATGCCATTGAGAATTTGAGTCTAACGTATTTCTGATGTCCAAGGTGCACATCGGCCTCAGATGCAGATCGGCGTACCTTGGATTCCTCGCAGCTTGTGTTTGTATCAGTCATTTTTTTTGGGGGGTTCATGCATTGGATTAAAGAGGGCAGATCATATGTGCCATGCATGGTCAAAAACACCCGGTTGTCATGGGTCAGTCGGGATGTTCATCCATTTTGACGTATATCTATATGGTTGTCGATCTAAAGGTCCTAGTCAGCAGTGTGTATGACGATGACCCGGAACATATCAAAATCTCATTTGGCGAAAGTTTTTTCTCGAGTTGGCGAAAGTAATTTTTTTTTTGGCGAAAGATCTGGCGAAAGATTAAATATGTACTTTTGTATGAATGTTCATTTGCTTTCTGAACAGCTGGTGGCAGTGACTCAGAAGCTAGATAAGCTGTGGAAGTTAGATAACCTGCTGCTGCTGCGGCTGCTACTACTACTACTACTACGACTACGACTACGACTACCACTACCACTACCACCACCACGACCACGACCACGACCACGACCACTACCACGACCGCTACCGCTACCGCTACCGCTACCCCTACCCCTACTACTACTACTACTATTCCTGCTCCTGCTTTGGGGGGTGGCTTTGCCACAAAACTCTACCCCGCAAAAGGCGAAAGTTTGGCGAAAGTTCAGCTCAAGATTGGCGAAAGTTCACCCTGCCACATCTGACCCCCAGCCCATTATGAGTAAGTTTGAGTGACCGGCTACTACAGTGATTCTTGCAATTTTGATTCTTGCTGACACCCAGGAGAAACAAAAGAGACGTACTGGGTGTCAACAGTTAAGTAGAAGACACATGCTGACAAACAGTGAAGTTTCTATTTTGTGTTTGCCAGTGAAGCCATTGACGTGAACAAAACACAACATACATGGCACACATAAATACAACGTACTTCGGCGAAAGATAAAACGCAGGAAGGCGAAAGTTTGGCGAAAGTAAATTTTTTTTGGCGAAAATGACGGATCCCGGATAAAGGAATTTAGATCAACTCCCATATATATTATATATGTAAAACACATCATAATATATATATATTATATATTATATATTATATATATTATATATGATATATGATATATTATATATTATATATATTATATATTATATATTATATATTATATATATTATATATTATATATTATATATATTATATATTATATATTATATATATTATATATTATATATATATATTTTTTTTTCAACCCCCAAGGCTGGCGGGCATTTTCATAATCATCCTCACCATGTCCTCACATGTTGACCGCTCCATCCGTGAGGTTCATGGTGCCAATCATCGCAGGCCTTGGTGGGCTCCTCAGATCCGAAGCCAACGGTAAAAGCGCTCCGAGCCGGAGATCCCAGCGAAAGACGAGGCGCCTTCTGACCACCACGCGCTGCTCCAGAGCGAAAGATGAGGTTCCGGGCCACCAGGGCCGCGTTTGGGGCGGTTCCGGGAAGGTGAAGGAGCACAACCGAAGACCAGATCAGATATAAGGTTTATAACATTAAGATAAGGAGCCTCATGGACCATGTGAAGCGGTAGTAAGACCATTTGGGAGGAGAGACCATCTGTGGCATAGAACGTGCAAATCAACAGCACTTTTCTCACGCAACAAGTTCCAGGATCCGTGGCAAGAGAAACCGGGTGGAGGCCCCAGCTTTGACAACCGAGGTGCCCAAATGAGCCAAGTGCACCAGCTGTTCCGTTTCTTGCCACTCATGAAGACAAGTAAAGTCATGATTTGTGAAACACCATTGGCTCAAGCAGCTTAGGTATGCATCCACAGACTGACAGTTGACTGATTACTACGTACACACGAAACAGCCCGGTACTGTCAGTTCCGGTCGCTTCGACCAACTTCCGTCACGGAGCCAATGGATCGACCAATGGACCGGGAGGATACGGTGACCATGTTGGAAAGGGGTGCGTGGATTGATTGCGCTAAGAACCTTGGCGATTGGAAAGGGGGGACGTCTTGAAGTGTATGAGCCTGTGACAAAGAGCTTGAACTTCTCAACAATTATATACTATGTTATGTTACTATTACTATGCAATGCAAAGACAGCTCTCCGCAAAGGGCAATGCCATTCAAGCTGTGCCTGACTTCAGATTGGCACATGCCCAAGGATTGACGAGTTTCTCCAGGATCACATCAAGGTGATTGTGAGCTTGGACGGTTCGGACCAGGCGAGTATTTGAGGAACTCAGTTGAGGCAAAGGTTCCGAAGTGAAATCTCACTTGGTGACCCGAAACTTTTATTTATGCAAGAGGATGGTTGAAACACTCAGTTTGCTCGGGGAGCGGTGCATAGTGGCACATGAAAGCCCAAGAGGCCCTATGAGGCCTGATGTCATTGATGTACAATGTACATTTGGAAGTGGCCCGAAGTGGCATGTGATTCCTGCTGAGTCCACCTGCGCATTCGAATGGGCTCTACATGGATTCGCTCAGAGCGACCGAGAGACCGAGTTGTTCATTGCTGTGGGCTTAGTGCCAGGCACCGATGTAGGACAGGGATCGTTCGTTCCCCTTTCCACAAGCTGCAGCTGCTACAAGCTGTTCTTGCGAGTGGTTCAATAGACCTAGGTTCACTATTATGACAGTTCGAAGGCGGGCTTGACACTGTTTGGCATGAAGAAGACCTCCATAAAGACTGTGGTTCATGCAGTTCGGGCTTTGTGCATTTGACATGTGCACCAGCTGTGGCCGGGCAGGAATATTTGCCTCCCAAGTGGAGGAAAAATGCAATCCACGCCGAACCTGGGCAATAGTGGGGTTTCGCAGCCGAGGAAGACTATTTTGATGTATTTATTGGTGTCCGGCAAGGCTAGGTCTAAGTAGGTCATAGTCCTGTCCACCATCACCAGCAGTCGAGTTTACAGCCTCTCAAGGAAACTCATGAGGCTGCACATTTTATCCTTCATAGATTCATAGATTAATATAGCATTATAGAGTTTGAACCAGCTTAAGCTTTCCGAGGACGCAGAAGCCAAGTGCACCTCATATTTGGTGTCGAAGAGGTATACCATTAGCCTCTTGGAGGGAAAGGGTAGCTGGAAGCTGTCAAAGATCCATGGAGATCCGAGAGTGCGTCAGTTCACCACCAGGGCTCTCTACACTACTCAGGCCAAGCAGGAAAACCTCAGCCGACTGAAATAGCTTCCAGTGGCTTTCTCTTTTTGTCATGGAGTTTATGCAAGCTACTTGTAGGAAGCCAGCCTTGCTACCTGAGATTTCCACAACCTTTAGCAAGTGCTACTGCTGAGGTCGGTGACCTTCAACGAGACCCGAGTTCCATTGTGCCATAGAAATCATAGAATCTCTAGCATCCTTTTCTTTACAACGTCCTCCTTCTTGTGTCTTCACCGTATCACATCTTTAGTCGTTCGGTCGGCCAAATCGCCAAAGTTTGTCGCATTTGATGATCTTTTGTCTCAGTTGAGAGGACGAAGCTGCTGTTTGGCTGAAAAGTTGGGTTGATCTCATTCATTTGTCACCATCCTAAGCTCATTTGAAGTCGTTTTCTTTCACATCCGATTTTACAGTGACTTTTCCCACCCTCATGCCTCATGCGTATCATTGATTGCACCAAAGGCAGTGTTTCTTGTCAGTTGTCCATCACATTGCATTTGTGATCACGACTTTGGCAGATAGATCTGTTTCAGTAGAGAGATGGAGAGACCGACGCGGCTGGGTGGAGAGACGGCCTTTTGAGCTGCAGGGTATCCGGAGGTTTCTTCACTTTCAGACTCGTTGTGCTCTCCCGACTTGGCACGTCGAGAGCGCCCCAGTTGACTCGTTGACGCACCTCCGGAGCACCGGAACGAACATGCGAACATGGACCGTCCCAAGGTGTTAAGGAACGAACTCCCGGAGTGAAGATTGGCACGATGCTTTGCGAGGACGATGTTCTTCCCCGTTGGAAGACGAAAACAAAAAAGGGACCAGTAGTAAGAGTAGTAAGAGATGTTGAGGTCATAGAAGCTGGTGGAAGTCTTGAAGTCTTGTACTACACATTGATCCAACAAGTTTTGCGCAGTGGGCACCCAAACCGGACAGCAAGCCTATTTTCCATTTGTTGGGCCCCTCAAATTGCGAGAGAGAGAGTCAGTATTGCTTACTTTTGTCCATTGCTCTGGCAAACGCAGGACATCAAATCCCAAGCAGCAGGCTTTTGTATCATGGGCTTTGCTGGCAGAAAAGGCCACGCCGGAATGATGGGGGCGATGGGCACAGTTCAATGAAACGCTTCAGCCATGGATATCAAAGTGAGTGTACTGATTGTAAGATGTTCTTCCTTGTGTTTTTGCACGTTTCTTCAATCTGTTTGAAAGAACAATGCAGTACTGCTGTAGGTCATTGCTTGAACTGATTTGCAGTCTGCAGTCTTCAGTGGCGAGAACATCCCAAACTTTTGATGACAGTGCATCGCTTGACGAAGTCGTCTTTGTCAGAACCTTCATACAACAACTTCTCAATTACGAAAGCCAGCCTTCGTAGAAGGCGCCAGCTGAGTTGTGCTTGGCGAACGAAGTGAGTAGTTAGGGGGTCTGGGGGGGGTGGCCGCAAAAGGTACACGTAAACTCGGCACATGCTGGGGGAGGAGGGTGCATCGAGGGAAGGTTTTTTGAGGTTGTGTTGGAGGTGACTTTTGAGGGTGGTGATGCAAGAAATGCAATTTGCATCATTTGCATCATCTGAATGGAAAGGTGTAGTTGGCACCTTGCCAGGTATAGATACCCAGGGTAGCTATAGTGCAGCTACCAGGTATAGTACTTCAAGTTCCCTTTCCGTCAACCGATAACCTCTACGCACGCACAGCAACCCACAGCTTTGAAGCACAGCAATCCACAGCTTTGAAGCCTCATGCGCGCGATACCTGGGAACAGAATTGTAGCTACCCTGGGTCCGTATAAATGCTATGTTGCTATACCTCTTACACACCTATACAAGTTCAAAGCACGAACGAGACTTCAATGCTGTGGTTTGCTGTGCATGTGTGGCTCGAGAAAGATATACGTAAACTCTGGGAGGTGATGCTTTGATGCTTTTGGAGCGGGTGGTGACGCACTCGCCAACTATACCCTTCAATAGAACTCGAACAGCTCAAATCCAGAAGACTCTGAAAATGGCCTGGCTCCCTATATGAACCCTGGGAAGTCTGGGAAGCGAAGAGGTGGAAACAGCTGGGAGGTCTTGAACTTTTAAGTAAACAAAAGGCCACATTCAAGCAGCAGAAGGACAATGTGCATCCTTTGCTCTCGCTTCGCAGACCTTCATTTTTTAAGGTGGCCTGAACAGAGTGTTTTAGGGCAGCAAGCCCTGGTCTCAGGCCACCTTGAATTTAGTTGAAAAATTGTCTGTTTTAACAAAAGCCTTGTCACAGAGACACCTCAGGACCCTTGCTTCGCATATCTTCATTTTTGAGGTGGCCTGAACATATAGTTTCGGGCAGCGAGCCTCTGGTCCCAGGCCACCTCGAATTTTGCTCTAAAAACTTTCTACTTGAACGAATGCACTTCCAGTCATATGACAACCAATCGTATGTTCAACCAGGTGCAAGGTCAATGTAGGTCAATTAGGTCAATGTGCATTTTTTGGTTTTTGCTTCATCTGAATGTGGATGGGAATTATCTATGTGTGAACAGAATGTTTTTTTCAAACGAAATTCAAGGTGGCCTGGGGCCAGGCGTTTGCTGCCCTAAAGCCATTGTTCAGGCCACCTCAAAAATGGAAGCGCTGGCTTTCGGTTTGCAGCTTCTCAAGTCATGCAAGAGTAGAAGAATAGAAGATTCTTTTAGAAATATTCTCTTAAAGTCAACATCTTTTAGAAGTCAACACCAATTCCCATTGTAAGATTTGTACGATGTTTTTGAAGTCTTAAGATCTAAGACGTTTCCCGCTCGAGGGCAGACGAGCAGGGCTTTTCCGAAGTATACTCTGTGCGTGGCCGCTGACGAGGCAAAGATCGGCACCTCATCGGTTCAAACGTCTTGGAGGCCGTTCTTCTTTCGTTAGCGATTAGTAGCGTCCTCTTGCTCGTAGTAGTAGGGCCAGGAGCCCCTAGTAGCGTCCTTGCCACTAGTAGTAATACCCTTGTTCCTGGTAGCAAAAACCGAATACTAGTAGCTCCTTGCTACTAGTAGTATTGCCCTAGCTACTAGCAGCATCCTTGCTACGTCACGTGGTGCAGTGGTAATTGCAGGAGTCTTGGACATTGTGGGGTTTTTTGTTCGATGCGGGGCGTTGAAGGTTTTGTTCAACGCAGGGCGAACCCCCTGGACACTCATCAATGGCTTGCAGCTCTTTTATCCAAGCAACACAGCTCTTTCATCACCAGGTGATGCGGAGTGGAAGGTGCAGCTGCATTGCCACTTCCGCTGCATCTCCAGAGATTTGGTCGTGCATTGTTTGGGTGCTAAAGTTAAACCATTGATGGTATCAGGGTATCACCAAATGGCTAGAGATATCCGCTTTACCCTATGAGAGGCTTCTGAAACAACACGGTACACGGACCAAGCTTAACCCACAAGCATTCTGTCTTCCATCAGGGCCAACAGCATGCAAGCTGCGACTGCGATGGACAGCCAAACGACGTTGTGGAAGAGAGCAATAGCAATCCTTTGCAGACGACGTTGTTCTCTCGATTCCATTGATCTGAGGTCTTCAAAGAGTCAGACCCCAACAGATTGGCCATGAAACGACCCGTGACTCAGCTCGAAAATGGTCGTCTTTGTGGAACAAGAGAACTCTATGAACATTTTCGTCCTTGTGCCCGACAAATGTCATCAGCCATCAGCTTGGAATGACTTCATGTTCTTCCAAAGTGGCATCAAACGAACCTGGGGAGGCAAAGTTCGTGGTCTCCTGCGGGCTCAACCCAGCGGCCACCAAAGCCTTCGTGGATGCGCTGCGATTGTCGCGACCAGGACCAGTGTGACTCCGACGAAGCGGGAGAAGATGGAGGGGAGGGACAGATCAGTGGAATAAGAATGAGTACAGTAGCTAGTAGCTAATGAAAGACACAGTTTTTTTTTGTGCATGTATGTGCGACGTTGGCTTGAGATCGTCCAGATCTTGTCCATTGCTGAGAAGAATATGGAGTCCAGGAAGGCATAGAGGGTGGGCCGATTGGAAGCCAAGCGCGAGGAGACGAGATCCACGTCGTGTATATTAGGCCTTACTTGGAGCCGCACTCCAAGGAGACGTTCCGATGGGTAGCCGCGTGGTTCTGCGTCACCTTTTTGGTTTGTCGTGGATGTATGTGGCTGTCGCAGCAGTCTTGCTGATGTGGGGACTTGGAGGTGCCAAACTTGGAGATCTGTGTTTACGTCAGAAACCATTTGTTGCGGAGAAGTTACCAAACACCTTCGCGTGGTGTTTTCGGGCCAAAGATTTGACCAACAGGAACTCCGCACTCGGCTCACGCCAAAATATATGTTCTCTTTGCGAGTTGACGTAGGACATAGGACATAGGAGAACAAGTCACTGGAGAGCATGTGTTGCTCACCTACCTTGCAACTGAATGTGAACTGCGTGATAGCCACATGCCGTTGTTCTTGGCTGGTGCACCACCCAAAAACCCGTGGGAACCAAGCTCAACGCATCAGGAGAGCAAAGTAACGACTGCGATTCGACACAAGTACGATCACATTTTTGAAGGCGATCGGGCCATTTTTTGGGTGTTGGGGAAGTGCTCAGAGTGCTGCTTATCGAAGTGGGCCAGTAGCTTGACAGTTGGAATGTGTGACCTTAACAGTTTAGACATGTTTAGAACACATCATCCAAGTAATCAATAGACTCTGGACCTACCAGGGTCGCAAAATTTGGCAAGGAAGTTCTTCATCTGTGCACTTAGAGAATCATTTGTCAGGCATGAAAGATGCAGCTGCATGGCCTAGTGGCAAGTTGGTGAAGTTCGGTGACCGGACAGTGAAGTTGGTGACTTGGTCGAACTGCCCTAGAAGCGCTCGGAGCTAGGACTTTGTGCAGCCTGTGAGCTACCAGCTACCACACGGGGGTGATGGATTTTTGAGTCAGTGGCGAACGGCGAATAATGGCCAGTTGGTACATAAGGTGGATGATTTTTGCTTTTGGGCAGACCTGTTGGCATCCTTTTATGTGTCTTCTTTTGCGCCAGACACAATTCCATAAAATTCCTAGGTCCTAGAGAGAGTATATTTCCAAGAACTACACCTGCAGAGGTCAGCGCTCTTCCAGGCGTTGACGTAGGCTTCGCCGCTCATTGTAGTGTGTGGTAAAACGTTCGACTACTGAAAGGATTCAACAGGCAGCTCCAGGCTTATATATATACTGTATATATATATATTCTGTTCAACCGCTGAAAAATCAGATCCGTGGATGGTCGAAAGTCATCCTGAAGACAGTTGGGGCATGTCCGGGCTGTAAAGGCATATGATGGCCCTCAGGAGCCTTGCTTCAAAGGCCACAATGCTGAGGACCCCAAAACAATGCACTAATGTTGTTCCTGTAGCACCGAGTCATCATCATCTATCCTTTGACATTGCGCAAGTGTCATTTGTGTTCAATCGTGTTCCCGACATTTGCATACATTTGTTGTGTCCCTGGTTTGGCCGTGTGTGGAACGAGGTCTTTGCACCTCAAGGAATTAACGAAGGAGTTGCACAGGCTTTGGTGAGATATGTGGCTTGGGTGACAGTGGCGGGGAAAAGATTGGGACAGGTGTGCCTCATCACTATGCTGTGACCCTCCGGCCCGAAGATCCTGGACGATAGCTCGAAAGCTAGCCCTTTCCGATATTTTTCAGTTCATGCGGCTCCACGGAGGTCTCGCCTTGTATGCAGATACTTCAGTCATCAAAAGATTTGCAAGCCTTCTTCAGTTACAATGGGTTGAACCTTTTCTGCAGCCTTGACTACCCAGAAGCCAGTCATGCAAGGTGTAACAGTCACAGCCAAGAAGACCAGAAAAAGGTCATCTCCTTGAGGCGAATAACTGATTGTTTCTTTCGTGCCCTCTCAGAAGGCGCTTTCGCCGAAAGCGTGCGAGTGTTTCAGGGCTTTAAACACCAACGCGCGTTTTTCAGCTGTTCGAGCGAGCGCGCGCTCTCGCTTTCGGTGGTTCCTTCGTTGAGGCGAACAACTTTGAAGCCGACTTCGTGATGGTGGGCACCAACGTGCTGCGGGTGGATCGAGGGAAGCCCCCGGTGGGCTCGGTCGCTCGGTCGGAACAGAGTTGCGCTCGGGGCTCGGAGTCGCTCAGAGTCCGGTGAAACACGATGTGCAGAGTCCGCTTGGTGACTCCAACACAGGGTCCTTGCGCAAGGATCAATCTGCCAGGCCAATTACATTGTAGGTAGATGTCCAGGATTGTCCAGGCCTTGTGATGCCTTGTGAGTGAACTATTCATGGGGTGAACTATTCATGGAGTGAACTATTCATGGACCAGCCCAGGTGTCCTTGCAGATCGTCATGGAGTTCCCGGGCAACTGCGTGGTGAGCAGCTTCAACCCTGACACGGACACTTGGCAGCATTTTGGCAGCCATGTCCATCTCATGGCCATTGGACTGGTCTGAGGACATGGCGATGAAGCCCAAGTGATGAGCAGAAGTTGCGATAGGATTTCCAGATGGAGGGTACAAAGGATACAAAGGGTACTGTATGGGCAATTTGGACATTCCACAACCGACATTCAACAACGGCTGTGTGGCAGACTGAGTAGTACACTGAGTATGACTTATTTGCTGTTTCATTCATCTGCACTTTGAGCAACGCACACACACACACACATTTCGCCGTTGGGTCTTCTATCCTCCAGACCCAAACGACCATGATTCGTGGCTTCCGCCGCACCGTGCGACGGAGCTTCGTTTGGTCCAAATTCAATTGTTACAAGAACATTTGCATGGACCAGAGGTTGCTAAAATTGGGCAACGTGCACAGGACCAATCCTGAACTCCACAACATTGGTTGTGGGTTGTAACCATTTTGGCTGCCGAGTCGCCATTTGTTTGCAATTGTGTGCATTTCGGCCGAGAACATATGGAAAGGAACCTTCTTCAGCCGCACAAAGTTGTTTATGTTGTTTGTGTCTATCAAGCATCTTTGGTTGCTTGGGTTGCGTACTGACTACTTGCCGAGGGTTTGGCATACAAGCCTATTCTTCTCACAACAACAACAACAACAACAACAACAAAGGAACCAAGTAGCGATGGCCTCCTTCCTACTAGCGATGGCCTCCAACCTAATAGCGATGGCCTCCAATCTACTGATCTTGGCCGGCACACTTCACCTTTGCATCGGCAGATCTGCCGAACGCAGCGCAGGGATCAGAGCGTTTGCTGTGCCGCGGCACGGCTGAAGTGGTTTGACGGACTCCCTCAAGTGGTGCCAAGCTTGCCACATAATTCTCAAAAAACTTGACAGAGGAGAGGTAAGCTTGTTGATTCTTTGTTCTTTTTTTAATAACCAGGGGGGTTCGTTGTTCCTGGGTGGTCTCAGTTTCATGTGTCCCTTCACCTACGAAGTAGGGCAGAATGGCTGGAGGCTGGTCATGGCATCATGCGAAGAAGTGCGCCGCCATCTGGAATCGGATTAGAGTGACTAGAGTGCTGGCCAACACAAGCTGTTGACCACAGCAGCAAAACATCAATATCATGTAAAATCATTTTTGATGACCAATTTTTCTTGGCTATTTGTATTGCAACTTTGGACTCCCTGAGAGCACACCCGTTTATCAGTCCCTAAAAATCTAGGAACCAAATCATTAGCGTGAGCGCTTCTTCAAGCCAGGAAGCTCCCCCCTGCCTGAGGGCAGGTGGAGCTTCCTTGAAGAAGTGCGAGCTATCCGGCGTCCAGTAGGTAGTAGCTTAAGTAGCTAGAAGCTTACTATATACCTTGCTTAATTAAGCAGGCACCTACTTAATCAAGTAAGGAGGCAGGGCCACGGGCTAAACTAACAAAGAAAAACGATCTTCACGTTTATCAGCGATAAGGTGGTGACAGGATGTTGGTCGAAGGTGACTACATCCATGTTGAGGCCTGGGGATCTGAAGCAATGGAGTGGAGGAGCATGCGCATTGGAAGAGCACGATCCGACGGTTCAGGGCCGATTTTGCAGGACTCAATATTGGCTTACCACTCACATTTTATTAACATGTTTTCATGTTATTCACATCTCACTTCAGACTAGCACCTAAGTGCATCAACTAGTAACAAGGACGCTGCCACTTCCCTCGGTCGCTCGGGCCAGGTGGACCTCCGGGGCCTCCACTTGCCCTTCGGCACCATGGCGGTGGCCATCAATGGAGAGCCCTCGGAGGTCCGCGGAGCCGCAGAGCCGTGGCGGTGAGTTGGTGAAGGACTGGATCAAGCAACGCTCCTGGAACAAGCAACGCGGGGCCCATCCACCCCGCTCTCAAGCGAGGTTCCACTGGGTTCCACCGTGTTTCACTGATTCAGCACGACCCAAGAGCAGTCCAATTTTGGGTGACAGCACACGGCACCAAAACATATTTACAGGTGCAAATCCAGAGATTGACTTTCAGGATTTCTACCTGATAAATTTGCACAGAGACTTGCGTAGTAGTTGTTTTTTTGGCAATGTTTTGGCTGAGCCATACATATGTATATATATATATATTATTATATAATGGTACACTCAGCTCATTCGTTTGCTTGAACCCTAGAAACGCTGGGAGTGTGCAAGGTGATCTTTGATGACATCGCCCTCACCACGGGGCCTTGCTAGCAATGTTTGAGCCAAAGCTTTGCACTCTGAGTTGCAATATATGTTGCAATAGTTTGCAATCAGAAGAAGACCGCCCTTAGTTCCAATTTGCAAAAAATTGGGCATTACTCTGAGCTAAGCCCTCCACAGGTAGCACTAGCCCACCAACCACAAACCAAGCATCAAGCTTGCCAGCTCGTACTTTTGTACTCTTTGCCCAAGCGTTTGCTTTGCAACCTGATACCTGGCACTGCCCGCACTGCGGCACTTTTGCACTGCCCGGCCGCCAGATCCTCGCTGATGCCCGTGGTGTGCATGGGTGGACATATGTCTCGTGTGCGTCTGATGCCAGCCTCGTGAGCGAATAAGGCTCGCATAGACGCGTCGGTTGGCTATGTCCGATCGAGCCCGGTCTAGAGCTGATGACTCAGCAAGGCTCAAAATGCGGTGCGATTCACTCGTGCTCTTACCAAGGGAATTGGGATGCTTTTGGGCAGCCAAAGTGATTGGGATGCGCTGTTTTAACATTGAGGCTTTTGCCTCCTATTTATGTATTGACCAATGCCCAGAGGTTTTTTTCATGTGCATCGGATCAGTGTTGGCAAGATCCTTCTGACGGACTTATTCAGACTGAGAATTAATTGGACCATGTGAAGGGATTTCCGTTGGACAGGCGGCGTTCCCTTTGTGTCGAACTGTGTCGTTCCCACCCATGGCCCCATGGCCCCATGGCCCAAACCGTGCCTGCAGTGATCTGATCATGTGGGGTCCGTGATCGACGCACGGGGGGACGCGTCGGTTGGCCCTGAGCCATGGTGGGAGGCGTGGCCCTCACTCATCAGGTTGAAGGATGTTGAGCGGTTGAACGCTTGAAAAGGTGTTTGCTTTGACCCTTTGTCACAGTCAGAAACATAAAAGACCAGGTCAAAATCTAGCGACTACTAGACAGTTTCCTAAGATTCGAGGAACCAAATCATTAGCGCGAGCGCTTCTTCAAGAAGTGTGAACTAGCCCGCGTTAGTTTTTAAAGCACACTTACTTACAATATTAGTTTCTATAGTAGTCGCTAGATTTTCACCTTGTATTTTGTGCTATCCTGTGTCCAGTTACTAGAAAGAAACTTAAATGGCTAGTAGCTTACCTCCTTACTTAATTAAGTAGGCGCCTACTTAATTCAGTAGGAGCGAGCAAAATACATGAATACACATGACGTTTTTTCTTGATATCTGCCGTGACTGCACTCCCCCACGAGTTCTTTGCTTCTCGCAGTCATGGAGCTCATCGCTATGCTCAGAGCGGGCAGCATGGACTTCGTCGGGCAGAAGCAGGCGGTGGCAAACTGTGGCAAGCGGCCATTGCTTTTCTGACAAGACAGGTGAACCCGACTTGAAACTACTCAGTTTAGAGAAATACCTTCATTGATAAGGTCTCCAGTTCATGATTTGTATATGGTGAGGCTCTTTCTTTTTCTAGCAATCATGGAGCATGACTTGCACTAACGTGGCTCGCAGATACTTTCCATTGGAAGTTGGCGAGTGGCCTTGCAGTCCTATTTTTTGGTACTTACGAGCAAGCAAGTTTCCTTGTGCACCGAGCGATCGCCTCCCAGGCGTTCAACATGCAGTTCTACTTCATTTGGACTTCAGGCACTTGACTCATTGCAAAAGAATGGCTTTGATCGCTTCCTACTCTTCCAGCACCAATCCTTTTCATCACTTCCAAGCCAAGGTGTCATTGGCTTCGTCCATGGCTTTATTGCCCAGAGGCGTTTTTGAGGGGGACCTGACTTGACATTGTATTTCCAGGATTTTGTGAGCCACACTCCTGCTGACATTGTCAGACGTGGTGCTCCGTGTTACTGACAGAGCCCAGTCGATTCGTGTGCTTTGCGCTTGGCCTGGCAGGTATTTGTACACGTTTGCGTGGATTTTTGGTGCGGGCCACAAGATTGGCGTGCATATTCCATATTCAGCAGATTCAAGTCGGCAGGGCCCACGAGCTCATTGGGAGAACGGGCATACGAGCTCATTGGGACTTTTGAGAAGGAAAAAAACTGGTACTTTGAGAAGGCAAAGTCTGAGAAGCTACTAGTAACAAGTGCCACGCTAGTAGTAACAAGTGCCTTACTAGTAGTAACTAAGAAGCTAGTAGTAACAGGTGCCTTACTAGTACGGTGCCACGTCACTCGTACGGTGCCGCACCATGTCACGCTCAACCCAAATGGGCCGAGGCACCGCTGCCTTTGTAGCACTGACGTGCTTGCCCCCGTGGCCCATGTGGAATAGGCTGCATCATGGCCCGCATGGAAAGATTTAGGAGACGAATGTGTGTATGTATGCATATGCATTTTATGCACACCATCAAAGGAATGGGTCACCAGAGCAGGCTTTGAGCCAATCGTCGGTTGGAATCGGAATTCACTGAACGTATAGGCATCCTGTGGCGTGGTTAGAGCCCAAAGACCGGGATGAAGACGACGAGCCCAAGCCAAAGAAGACGCAGGAGTCAGACCGATAGGTCCGATAGGAGTGCATGAGAGGACGTAGGAGTCGTTTCAATGATGTATGTGCCTCAGCGGAAGAACCTAGAAATCTTGGCAACTCTTTTACTGCCAGGAGAATAGCAGCTCCAAAAAAGCTGCGAAAAAGAAGAAAAGCTGAAAAGCTAGCAAAGACTTGGGCAGCTGAGCCTATGCGGAAAGTGGGATGGCTGCTCAAAAAGATGAGCATGTTCCACCCTTGCTGCGAAGCTTTCGAAACTCACAATGAAACGGCTTAGGGCGAGCAGCCTTCATGTAAGGAGCTTTCAGATGGTTTCAGTCTGCAACCCCTTGGTCAAGAACGGTGTTTCGCATTGAAGCGATCCTTTTTTCGACGCGACGTTCGCTAACATCCACGGACGTCGCATCGACTCAAGGACGGAGCATTGTTGTGTTGAGTGGGGTTCGATGGACTCACGATAACTCATGGACTTCATGCTTGCGGCGTTTGGGCTGGAGAGTTTTCAGTGGCCATTGGCGCCTCATTGGGCTCGGGGCTCAGATTTGCCTACAGCGCAACTTCCTTTCAAGCTGGCTTCCAAGTCACTGTTGACTTGGTACCTCCGTGGGCGGACCATGTCCTGCAACGAGATTGAAAAAGACCGACCAATCACCCGCAGCCTTTCCCTTTCCAAACCCGATCGATTGTTTCCTGTTTGCGATGAGGGGCCGAGCGATGGCTGAAGCAGCTGGAATTGTCCGAACCTCAAGCGGAGGGAGGAACAAGAGGACGCTATACTAGGAGCAAATGGCATCGCTACTAGGAGCAAGGACGCTACTAGGGGCTGGCCATACTACTAGGAGCAAGAAGCTATTAGAAACAAGAAATAAATGGAATTAACATAGAATTAAGTTTAATTAGAATTGTCTGAACCTCAAGCGGAGGGAGGAAGCTAGTTTTCACAAAGCAGATCAGATCACACTTATTAATTATCATCGGATTGAAGATTGGAGCGGAGTGGACAAACTCCAACTTGTTGAAACTGTTTGTAGATAGTGCTGGCTGCTGGCGCTCATGCTGCATGCATGTCACTAAAAAGGTTTTGTTTTTCCAAAGCAAGATGGACACTTCTGCAGATTGGCGCCTCCAATTGTTGACAAGCCTTAACCGCAAGCAGCCAGATACTGTAGATCAGATAGCCAAGGGATCAGTCTTGGCGCGGGAAGACCTCCCCTGATTCAAAACAGTTTGAGGAAGTGGATGGGACGGACTGCTCCTGAGGCAGTTTGGACCATGTCTCAACAGCTCAATGGTTTTGGAAGGGTTCAGTTGATGTCCTCTGAGGTCATCACTGCCTCGGAGTTGCGGCGCATCAGGGACGCCATAGGTGGTGTTGGGTCACCCAAAAGATTCAAGAGAGCATTTGAGGGGAAAGCGATGAGACTGAACTTGAACTGCTTGGTGCTTGGCGGTTTCCAGTTGAATTTCTTCAGCCTGTGAGGATTTCAAGGCTCTTTGTTGCGTAGCAATAGTGCCTTTTGGATACGAAACAATAACGAGAGGACAGTCATGGAAACGAGTGGTTTCACATGAAGACTTGCCAATAGTCCCGTGCAAGTTTTGATGAACAGATGACAAAAATTCTTTTGCGGACATGATTTTCAAATCTTCCGTAAGAAGCGGCACGCAAGGACTTACGCCACTTCACCATGGTGGCGCTAGAAAAACCGCTAGATTGGCGCTGCATTGTCATACCCAGGAGTACCCTTGGTAGAAAGAATGCCTCTTTGTGATTTTTGATTGGTCTCAGAGGGCATGTGTTTATTGAACAGGTCCAGTGCCACTAGGGGGGCTAGCATTTCAAGGAAAGTGTGAAAACGATGGAACACCTTCCAGTTGGACTTGCGTGCTTGTTTTCAGGACTCGCCACCGATGGGTGGCTCAAGCTTGTCATGAGCGGCAAAGCGCGCGGTCACGACACGTTTTGTTGTTGGGTGTTTTCGGTTGCCATTTTACATTGGGAGTGGAGCTCAGTTCTCCACGAACCCTTGCAATCTGTTTGTGGGAGACCTTTGTTTTTTTTGAACACGTGACTTTCATTTTTTCCACCCTCGCATCGGTCGATAGAGCCATGTCGACCGTTGAGTCCTACGTTGGCAGAGCATCCCACCCAGGAAGAGAACTGGAGCATTGAGGCCAAATCTGGAGTCCCAAGGTATGAAGTTCACGAAGTTGGCGAAGTGCCAGTTCAGAGTCGGGTTGCGCCAAGCTCGTGAGAAGGACATGGACGAGCAAGGTGTTCGGAAGCTTGGGCCCCTAGCACTGAGGCTCATAATGATCTCCGCGGACCGGCGTTGCAAGTCGCCAGATCTTTGCCGGCTGATCAAATTGCCAAAGCAGAATGGACTTCCATGCTCCTCAAGGCCTTGCAATCCTCGCTGCAACCTCGGTCGAAGCAAGAAGCCAGGGATCTTTACCAGATCGGTGCACAGCAAGGCGGGATCTTGAGCCGGCAGCATGGTGAGCTATGTCTTGCGCCGCAAGGCATGGTATCACATGATGCTGGAGTTGCTGGAGACCTGGAGGCCATTTTGGCCGAGCAAACGCTGCAGAACTCTGGCATGTCGCCAGGCCACCAACCTTTGATCAGAGCAGCAGTTCATGGCGACATCACCATGGGGAAGATTTGTGAAGAGCTTGTGGCGCATAGTCGAATCCACGATGTTGAGAGCCGGAGCGGAAAAGGCTTCGGTGGCAAGACCTACAAGGGCTACAACTCGAAGAGTTATGGTGGAAAGGGTTCACATCGGCCCTGGGCTCGAGCCTATCATGCCCAAGGAGAAGAATACTATGACCGCGAAGATTGGGAGGCGCGTTCCCAATCCCTCGGTGGCTATGAGGACTATGAGAGCTGCAGCTACACCGTCGATGACGGCTCCTATGCCATGGACAAGGACGAGGTGATTTGCGTGGCCTACGTCAACATACTTGAAGAAGGGCTTGATGAAGCAGATAGGTGAAGCAGCCGAGTATGCGTGAGGTGTTGCAGGCTGAAGCTGAAGCCTGCTACCTCCGCGCCCAAACTGGCCCAAGCGGACATCAAGGCTTTGGCTCTTCTCGACATTTTCAAGCGTAAGGA